TCACTCGAGAGCCTCATCCTCATCCCCTGCATCCAGCATTTTCGAAGATAGGCGCATCTCCACTTGCTGTCGCTTGACCTTGATGGATTTGACAGCCGCCTCCTGAGCTTTCTTGAGCTCAGTATAAGCTCCCTCCATCAAGGCCTTCTCGCGTTTCAGAGCAGAGCTTTTATTTCCTCTCTTTAATTTTTCTACTTTGGCATCATGGCCTTCTAGTGCCAAGTGGGCAGCAGTCATGCGTTCCAGGTTTTTGCCCAGCGTTTCCTTCTTCTGCTGCCCAAGTTTGCTCGCACCGGTCGGGTCTTCATTGAAACGCAGCTCCCTCTCATCGTCTAACAGCTTTCGGGCCTCTGTTTCAATTAACGAAGTTTTCTTCATCGTCCAGGACACGTCCATTATTCCAGCTATGGTTGTTTTATTGCCGTGAGACGTTTTTGGACACTTGGCCAGTTGTTCCGCCTCCTCGTTCCAAAAACGCCTTCTTTTCCTCTCCAAGTGGGCCTGTGGACTTTCTGTTTCTTTATCGGAGTAAATATTAATATTTTTCAGTTTAGCATTTATGTACTTGTTTTTCTTCAACATATTCAGGAATGATGTTGCTTTTCTGCCGGGCTCGGCTAGTTCAGGAACCTTACCTAAGTAAACAGAAAAATATAATTACTTTAACGACTCTTTAACAATTCACTAACTTCTCATTTGCAAATGAATGATATTAATAAAATATCAGATACTTCGATTTGGTTGCTTGACTCATCAAAAAAAAGCTTCATAAGCCGACCGTCAAGGGACCCGGTAATTACGAACCAGGCGCTTTTTGTATGAAACAAAACTGAAAAAATACGCTTACATGAAATTGATGCAAGTAAAGGCAGTTGCATGGTCTCATTCATTTTCCTTTCACCCTTTGCTATCTGTCATTAATATTTTCATACATTTCAAAATTGGAGTGCGACTACCGTGACCAGGGCTACCTAGAAATAAATTACCGATTGGGTTAAGGGAAATTAACAATATATTCCAAGAAACTTGTTTGTGGGCTAATCAGCAACTCGTAATAAAACAATTAGTTACTTGAAGCTAAAAATTTGATTTTAGTTGTAATCAAATGTTTTAAATAAATTATTTATTATTTTATTATTTTAAATAAGTTACAAATCGCATCTTTCTATCACTCAATTGTGTTGGAACAAAAGGATGTCACAGAAATTTTTGCCCCGCTGAGCTCGGGATCGCAGACACTGACTTTACTCTGCGGATGAATGGCTGAAAAAGGCGTCTGCTCTCGCAGGCTATACAGCACTGTAATGCTGTTTACTGATTTAGTTCCAACTTTCTCAGAATGTATAGTTATTTTTGTGCAATCCGATTGGTCAACTTTATCTAGGTAGCCCCACTTACAGTTGTCGCACTGTAAACGTGATGAATCTTCCTTTTTGTTTTAGCTTGACTAGACGTAATATTTAAAACTTGAGGTAAAATTTTTCTTACCTGCGGCTTCTCCTGGTATATCTATAGAGTCCGTTTTGTCTTCGCCCTTGTGGTCTGTTCCACTCTGGTTGTCTTGCTCAGCTTCTATTGCTGGATTCCACGGACTACCTTTGACTTCTTCTTGTATATCAAAAACGTCTCCATCTGACATCTCCTCCATCTGCTCTGTTTCTCCGAGACCACCTACGCATGCGGTGGCTTCTTTTGTTATCGCTAAATCTATCTCTGACTCCGCATAGGTGTATTTTTCCACCTCCGGCTCCGTTTCTGGATGGATGTGCGGTACAACTGTGTCCAGCTTCCATGCATTGCCGAGTATAAAAACCGTGCCTTTGTCATAGGCCAACAGGCATTCGTCGTCGTCTATTTCTGTGCCATCAGATTTGTCGAAGACTTTACAGTTTTCCTCCTGAATGCCTAATTTTTCTTTACCTGGGTCTGGCAAGGAATTATAAATTAAAATAAAACAATGACTGGGATTTTGTCAAGTTTAATTAGTCTTACACCAGATTCATGAAACACTCCTTTCGCATATATAACTTTGTTTCAAGAAAAGCTATGCCTTTATCATATTTCTATGTAAAGCAGAAAGCCCAGTTCGAATACTGTCCCATCAAACAATGTATTCCTTAAAGGGACAGTGTCCCGATTCTGTGCACGCGCAGCGTCACCTGTTTTTTCTTGAAAAAAAACAATAGAACGGTATGTTTAGGCCCACTTTATCGCTACCGCATTTTATCCGTCATGCAATTGTCATGCTGAACTCCTTTATAGTTATTAAAAATTTGTTCAGGACAAAATCATGGGAGAAGCACGCCGACTGGTAAAAGCAAGCACAATTCCCCTTGTTTAAGGTACATTTTTGAGCAGAAAACAAACTGGAATAGTGATAAAATTCGGGGGCAGATCCAGAAAATTCAGAAAGGGGCGGCTGGGACACTGGCAGTTATATAAATACTAATTATTTAACTGAGAATTCTTTAAAAATGATACAAAATTTCACAGAAAAAGGGCTGTGCACGGTCCACTGGACAATCTGACAAAATTTTATCCGGGTTGGTACAAATAAACCAGTGCATTTCCGGTGATTTCACAAGCTCTAAATTCAAAATTTTGGGGACAGCATCCCCCACTGGATACTAAGGGCAATAGTTTCTCTAATTCTAATACATCCGCTGGATAGTGATCTATCCGGTGGATAGCGCTATCCAACATTTGAACAACTTAGGCCTGATGCAAAGAAAACTTCCGAGTGTCTCAAGGCACATTACCACTTTACTAAAGACTGAGAAGTTCTTCTCTTCCCATTTCCGGTTCCGGTACTTAGCCCCCGCTCAAAGGACTTTTATCCCCTGCAGTGCCCCAAATTTACTGGAGGAATAAGCCCTTTGCATGAGCTTATCACGTGATCAACTTTCGGTAAACACGAAAACAGATCGGTTTTGAACAACTTTAGAAGCACAAGCTGAAATAAATTTTCAGCCATAATCTTAAAAGTAGTGATTGCAACGGCCGCCAAAAATTAGAAGGATTTGTATGAGAAAAACAACTCCCACCACCCAGTCACGTTTGAATGGTTTTTCATACAAATCCTTGTAAATTCTAAAATTTTTTAACTGTCGTTAAATGTTTCCCTTTTAGCTTACCCCGGCTTAGGGCTCAAATTGCCTGTAATGAATTAAAAGGAGATTTGATTTCATTGACAGTTTTGAAAATTTTGAAATTTACAAGGATTTGTATGGAAAACCATGCAAACGTGCAGTGGGTGGACTTTTTGGGTCGTTCCATCGGAAAATTTCCGGGAGCAACGTAACATGTAAAAAGGTAGTCCTGCTTTTCCAGAAGGAATATTCCAAACGGAAATCCGTGTTGCATTTCTTCAAAGCCGTTCAGGCGTTCGCAGTCGCTTTTTGGTAAATGGAACTCATTTGTACAAATGGTAAATGCGATTCCGGGATGAAATTTACCGGTCCTAAATTTTGCGTTTCATTTGCCCAGACCTTGGACCGACCAGTTTGCCCATGTAAATCATTGGCAAAATAACCCTAATTTTAATATGCTCTTGCGGCTTGTGCAAACAAAATATTTTTCAAAGGCGAATTGTTTTCGTGTTTACTGAATGTTAATCACGTGATCAACTCATGCAAAATGCCTATTGTCCTCCTTTTGGTTTTATCCAATCGCGAACGGTTTTACTGATGCGCCGTCAATCAAACCCAATCACTCCACATGAAACGTGACTTGAGTTTTGATCCAAATTCTATTGAGCTGTGTAGCTTTTTTTTCGGCTGTATTTCGATTTAGTTCTTTCACCTGTATTCCAATACAAAGTTTTAGTGGCCGTTTTTTCTTTCTCCATTTCAGTACTTTACCAAGGCCGGATTTTCCTGCAGCCATGGAGCGGAAAAACATTACCAACTTGTTTTGTTTTGAGCGCGCGCTCTACAAGGTTTTTATATTTTTACTTTTATGTTTTCTTTCATGGCGTATGCAAACTTTGAAAACTTTTATAGCGCCGCTTCAGGAGAATGCATATCTAGATATCTAAAAGTACTCCGCATAGCCTAAAAAGTGTTTTCAATGTATTTACGAGGAAAACATTCAGGGGCACCCAACGACTGTTTTCTGTAAAATATCTGTTCTGCCTAGAATTTCTATTACTTGAGGATGGCTAAAAATTTTTCGCAGCTTATCTACTAAATTCCCTACGACTTTCTGAAGTTTAATTTTCGCATTTTACCTCCCAGGTCAGGCTATTTTTTGTAGAAAGAAGGGAAACCTACAATTTTCGGATTCAAGAATGTGGTGGAGAGAGGAATTAGAAAATATCTCACTTTCATAATACGTCAAATTTCATTTAAAATTTTCTGCAAAATAATACTTAAGCCCTTGTAATTTTGAATAGACGCAAGTTCCCCTAGGATGACCGAACAGATACAAATTTTACAGCGTTGCTTAGAATGCTTCTGTCTTGAGATCTAAACGTACTTTGGTGTTTTCAATGCATTTAGGATAAGACCGTCGTTGGGTGCCGGTGGCAGCTTATCGGAATATTTTTTCCGTTATGTGTTTGTTTTGACATACTTTGAAAAAAAACTTTTCACAGTTTTGATATTTCTTCACCGAATATCACCTCATCAGCTATTGAAGTACAAGTGTCACTCATCCCTGACGGTTTTTCCATTTAACATCATTCGTTTTTTTAAATAGGGACGCAAATAGTTGGCGCCAAAATGACGTCACTTGATACGATAAACTCACATATGAGAGCTTAAAAAGTAAATTCAGTTTAATTCTCTTTGCCTACAATTATATTTGATGATCGGATACACTAAAAAGAATCGAGAAAATTTTCTGAGAGAGTACTTTTGATCAAAAGGAAAAGAAACCCGGGTTAAAATTTAACCCTGAATTAGCTCTATCCGGCGCTCGACCAACTGTGCTGGGCTTTGTAATACAACACACTCAAACCCCTTACCTTTTCTAGTCAGTTCGTCCAGTGAATTTGCAACAACAAATTTTCTTTTGGTCCTGGACACATCCCATGCTTTAAGGAGTTTTAACTGAACAGATTGTGTTTGGGACTTGCGAAGAGAAGTGAATTTTACTCGGTAAATTGCCAGCCACCTCAAAGAACTTTTACAGGTCCCAGGCAGTGTCAGGCCGAGTTTGATTGACATGGAGTGGCCGGTGACAACTTTGGTTTGCCCAGCAACGTAATTTTGATTGGCCTAGAGCTCACAGTGAAAGTGACCTGAGTTTTCCCAACAATGCAATCTTAATTGGCATCCACAGACTCTACTATCCTTGGGAGTAGATATAAATGCAAATTTTGCATTTGATTATGTCTACAGATAGACGACAAACTTTTGCAATTAATTATCTCGGTGAAAAGGAAAATTAGTAAAAATATACTATGCATATATATATATATATACTGATACAAATCTCGCAGTTAACTATTTGTCATTAACTGCGAAATTTCTCTCTGTTTATAGTAAGAAACACAAATCTTGCAGTTAACCATTTCTCACTGACTGCGAAATTTCTCTCTGTTTATAGTAAGAAACACAAATCTCGCAAATCTTTAGGCTCTCCAAACTTCCCGCGTGCATCCATAACTCAATATACATCCGCTAAGCATGAACAAATTCTCAATAGTCTGGCATGCGCAACAGAATCAGAATCCGGTATCATTGTCAATCATAACGAGAAGTCGCGTCTATGCACTGAGTATTATTTGCGAGGTGTGCATTTGGACGAGCGAAGCTTGTGGACGTGTTCATCTTGCTACTTACTTCTTGCTACTTGAAATAATTGCTGTTTTTCGACCGTGATGGCAGTCAGTAGGAAGTTCCAATCTGTACTCTTTGTCTGCGGACAAACGTGGGAAAGTACGGTCCCTAAGGAGGAGGAATTGCTGGAACATTTTATATGTGAGTATGAAAAAGCTTGCACGTGGTGTGGAACTTTTAAACTTAAGAGAGTTATATTTTTCCCATAATATCAAAGAAGCTAACCTATAGAGTAGAAATATTGATTCCGATCAGGGTATCCTTAGCTAATTAACGAAATGTTCTCGAAAACAGTATTTAGATAACTCCAGAATGCCATTAATCTTGCCATTGTAGAAAAAATAAACGTCAAATGGCACAAACGACATGGACACGTGAGCTCGAGGCCATTTCACGTTTGTTGCATCTCAGGCAAGAGCAACTTTTTCGGCTGTTGCTGCAAGAGATCAATCGTTTCAAACATTTCACTGATTAGACTCCCTTGCACTTAACACGTTTCACCTAGTTCACCCAGTTGTAATTGACGAGTATTTTTTCATTATGATTCAAGGTGTGAAAGTTAGAGTGAACATCGCTGAATTATATGTAGAATTCAGGAAACAGCCACTCAAAAAACACTAAAATAACGGCTTAGGAGATTGTCTAAACTTGCGAAGATGGCATAAAAAATTAAATTATAAAATTATTATTATTACCGGTATTTGTTTTTGTGGCAGTAAATGTTAACCCTTCAACTCCCAAGACCAAATTAATACTTCTCCATTATAGCCTCTATACATTTCCTTGTTTTTCAACTAGGTTGAATGTGGGGTTTTATCAACGGATCACTGTGTTAATATTACAAGGAAAAGTTAGA